GAGGAGAGGCCATTTCATGTGCACCTGCTAATAAATCTAGGGTTTTTTTAACAGTCCCAGGAGATAAGAGCCCATACGCTAACCAACTGCACCACCTAGCTTCATGCTAAAGCATTTTCAGAGTCCTGTTCTAATACCAGAGCTTATATTCCTGCGAGGTGAAAGCTGCTTCTAGTTTCACCGCTACTCATCTGGTGTCTCACCACGGATATTAGAAACAATTCACTAGCTTTGATGTCTTCAGAGTTAAGAAACATCTCACCTAAAAACATACAATAAGGGTGTTCATAGGGGTATAACAGAGTGACTTTAAATTACCCTTCTTCAATCTTGCACGGTGGTGTGACCTTTCAGCCCATGAATGCTTCCTATAACTCTTGTGGCCACATTTACCTAAGCTTGATAGCGTCTGCTGTTGGTTTGATTCATTACTTAGTGGAGCAACACAGATTAAAACAAAACTCAGTATGTGTGAGTTCTACCACTTACTGACCCTATGTCTAGGAAGGCAAAGGCTACCTTGGTCCCATTTTCCAGCAATATTTCCTTTTCTAGTTTTGTTCAAAACAGGGTGCCTCTGATCTCTGACCTGTAGTCCAAATTGCCCTGACTCTCAAGTGAGAACTGGTACCTTCTCACCAAGCCTCAATTCTGACAAGAACACATTTTCTGCAGTATTAGAACTTGAGTACTTGGAAACAGAACAGCAGACTTTGTGTACCTCCCTTGGATAAACAAGCCATGGCATGGTTTTTAACTACTTTCTGACCTCAGAAAGCAGAACAAAGGAGCTAAACTATACCTCAACGTCAGACTAAAGAGCAATAGCAATATGCCTGCTGCAGTCCTCCAATGTCCAAGCTGCGACACAGTCCTTTGTGACATATCTGCACAGTGCCTCTGAGAACTGAAGACCTAGAGAAATTCACATGCGAAATCTACACTGCGTCTACGTTACTTTAATAACTTCAATTCAACCAGCATAGGCAACCAAGAAAATAAGCTAGAGCATCAGCTCATGATTCTCTTGGAAGCTTCACAGCCTGCTTGCAAGGTGTCAGGGCCCCTTTCTATCTCCTTCCTAGACTGACCTCTCATCAAGTCAGTCTAGTTTGTCAGACCTGTCCTAGAATAAAAGGTAGATCCCTCTTGCACGTAAAAGCTGTGGATAGAGCACAGTAATACTCCTACAGTGATGACTCTTCATTTAGTATAGTTTTAGGACTGCTGAAAGCAGCAGCCACTAAACTGTTACCCTTGCCAAGTTGCAAGACAAAGTTCTTCATTACTAACTGTAAATAAAGCAATGCAAAAAGTATGAGTATAAAATCACTTAAGCTGAGCAAAACCATAAAAACAATCAACAAATGAGGGCTTGTGTTCTTATTTTGACATAATTCACGGCGAGCTTGTCAGCCAACAGGGGCATTTCCCTTTTCTACACAGCTTGTGTTTAAAAAGGCTATTAAGATGTTTCAGAAGAGCAGAAAGCGCTAATCTATTTTACACACGTCACGCAGTTTCGCCCTCAGTTTCTGCCAGTGTCCAGAACATCCTCATACGCGAGCGATTTTGACAATTGCAATTTGTTCCTTAGTTTTCTTTGACTGCTGCTAGGCTTCACCAGGTATTCGCTATAGACCGAACAAAGTGGTACATTATTTAAGAGCCTCAGGTTAAAACCTCTGCTCCATCAACAGCACCAAGTGCAACATACCCAGCAACACATGCAAAGTTACGAGATCTGGCTGTGAATCTCAGAGCTGTGCACGATGCAACACAGGGCAAAACCCAGCAATTTCACATCCACATGGTATGAAATTAGTTTTAAAAGTCCTTCTGGACTTGACATGAATAAAATACAGCCTCCTTTCTGAATTGCCTGATTCAGTTACATGCCACACTTTTTTCAGTATCTCCAGGACAAACTTTTTCATTTTCTAATGTGATGCAAGGTATTCCCTCAGTCTGCTTCCCGGACAACTGATTTGTCTTTTTAAATCCCAACTTATACTCTCATTTAAGTGACACCCTTCCGACTTCTGCCAAAAGAATCGCAACAAAAAATGAAACTTTTAATCCAGAGCAGCAGCACCTGCTTTCTCCACTGTGGTACCCGCTAGAAGATGCAACAAAGACAGCAGCAACGATGGCTGAAAACAGTTTAGCGTAATCTACAGGGAAGAAAACACTGCGAGTAAAAAGATCTGGAGCAAAGCAGTCAAACTGCTAATATTATTCAGATAGTAAAAGCTGTGAAAGAGCACATCTAGAAAGTGGTTGTTTTGAAACAATCACTTCAGCGCCATACGGGGGGGGGGGGGGCGGGAAGGGGAGGGGGAAAATAAGTAGCCGCAGAAACCACTCTAGTTCACTTTAAAGACAAAGCAGCTAGGGGTAACTACAAACTGATCCAACCACAACCCACGGGTTAGGCCTACCATCTATTAGCTATGATTTAATTTAGACAACAGTCAGTATCAAGCATTTAAAATGGAAGCTGAAAAAAATTCCAGAGTAGACATTTAACCCACCATCACTTGGATGACGAAGCAGAAATTATACCAGTTCAATAGTGGCAAAAAAAATGAAAAGAAAAATAACCAAAAACAATCAACCCAAAACCAACAACCAAAGCAAATATTGAAAGAAACAGTTGCAACAAAGAAGACATTTTAGGCTACTTAACAAAGTACTAAACAAAAATATGTATTTAACAAACTTTCTTTAGCTCCTAGAAACTACCAAAAGGTAGTAAGAGCTGGGACCACTTGCAGGTGGGTGCTGTGCCTGTGAGGCCAGTACCTATTGGCTGTAAATGGGCTCTGAGTGGATCAGGACTTTTTTTGATTAGTGGGCACCAGTGGGCCGTATGAGACAATGTCCGCACAGGTCTTCCTCTGCCACAGGGGCTACTGTTAAAGCAAGACTGATGATCAGCCTAGCGACGCACAGGGACTAGCCTAGTTCTCAGTCATCTTGGAGTGGTTCCCTGAACACATGCTAGAGCTGCCTGGAAAACCGTGTCTACACTTCCTGTTAGAAGATGTAGTTGGATCCCGGACTCCAAAGCGAGTCCCCGTGCTTTCTGAAACTCAAATTGTGTTCTCCCTATCATGTAACATATTTGCAAGTCATGTTAAATAATCCACAATAACAGATTTGTGATAGCACCAGCTTAATTTGGGTAGGCCTGTCCTCGTGAAAGAGCATACCTGTCATACCTCAAGTAGCATCATGCTCTGTCTTAACAGCCAATCAGATTATTCAGACTTTAGGAGGGGAGGACTCTGAGACCGAATTGTCCGAATCTGAATCAGACCAAATTATCAACCCAGTCTTCCGGGTCTCTATATAAAGAAATTCCCTTTTCCACAGCTTCCAGATGATGGCCAAGTATTTCCCAGACAAATACTGCTACATGGGGGAACACACATTGCTCTAGTTTCTCCACATTAGCCAAACGGATTTTGACACAGGCACGTGGTAAGAGTTTTCTCCTTTAGTGCAGCCCTAGTGTCCTGCTGGATGTTGTCCAGTTCTTTTCACAGGTAGCCAACCTGAGCTGCTTTCAAATGCTGCTCAGTATCAATAAGGAAATGAACTGATAGATATAAGCAGGGTAATGCTCCCTTTATGTTTCTGTCTCTCTGGCTTACTCTCAAAGTAGACTCTGACCCTGCAGGCTGGGCAAGCTCCTAAGCTAACCAATTAAGGCACTCATTATAGGGTCAGGCTTGGTCATGCTGCAGCATGTACCATATCTTTCCTCTTACATCAGAGAGTAAGGACTTAACTATAACGCTGACAACTTATGGATTTACTATATGGTAACAGGCACCAGACCAACAGCTTCAGGGATAAAAAGTTTATGTCTAAATACCAGTACAGGCAAACGTACACATCAGCAGTACAATTATCTGGGTCCTAGAACAGCAAGTCAAGTAATTCACCAAGACTGGGCTAGACCTAATAGCTGGGCTTGCAACGACTTACACGGGCATGGTTGTCAGGTAGGCACCTCTTCTCCAGACAAGTGACCAGGACTGGCCAACAAGCTTGGGGAATGCATATTCCTTGGCTGGACTGTCCTTTTTACCGCCAAGCTGCAGAAGCATGGTTTGGACTTTTTAGCAAAACATTACACCCCTCTGTGCCAGCTCTGTCCTTAGTGTGCACGGGGTCTGGGAATCCTGCACAAGTCAATACAACCCAACATTCCTTTGAGGGATGGAGACTGGAAGCATTGTGTAACGCAATACAAGCCTCATAGCTCTGTTGTATGCTCCATCTCCAGAAATACTGCATTAGACAGTACCTTACAAGGACCCAGCTAGTCTCGCAAAGGCGAAACTGACAGTTTATGTACTACACAGGATGGCAGAACTAATGCACATGGTACCCTCAACTGTGTGAATATTGTTGGTGTGAATATATGGTTAATAAGTGAATATTTCACTCATTAAAAAGTGAGAGTGTGGGATCAGAAGCAGAAAAAGCTTTTAGTTTAATCTAATAATGACTACAAACAGTGCTGACGATAAGCAGACTGAATTATTCTGCTAATAATGGCCCCATAGTACAGTATATTAATGACTAAGAAGCCAGTAATTCAAAATTACTGGAGTACGAAAGAAGAAATAAATTGAAAGAAGAAGTAAAGAAATAAAGCACGAAGACTACGCTGAAAGATGAATAAAATTGTACTGCAAGTTAGTGAACTATTTAAACTACCATTTGGCAGCAGGCCTCCAAAAGACTGTTTCCCAACTTGCCAAAGTATGACTACCTTTAAAAGGTGAAAAATACCTAAAAATGGAAACACTGCTAGACCAATCCATTCTCAGAGGTATCATGCTCCTTTCATTTATGTATTTAAATTAAAATTTAACATTCTCCTGCTACCCAATTGTTTATATGAATATATCCTGCTCTCTCGCATTGTGCATACGGAAGTTCAACCAATACTTACAGGATCTTTCAATATATTTGGAGACATGTATTCTCAATTTATTTATTTTAAGCAAACTGCAAGATCGATTAATTCACATTACACTGGTTTCTCTCACAGATTTTATTGTGTTGAGAAAGCTTTAAGTGTAAACTGTGTATTTAAACTGTCTGCTGTGCTATTTTAAACCCACAAACAACTTGCATGTGCTCTACTGTTTCAAACTCAGTCTGGAATTTAAATGTGTTTTTAAGTATCAACTGCATGCTTCTATAAACAAACTAATTCAGTCAAAACCAGGCTGGTGACTAACATCAGGACATTTGTTAAGACAAGGAAATGCTGAAACCAACATAATTCCCCTTATTTTTCCTCTACTAGCTTCACAGCATGACTAACAACTTCTGGAGCTTGTGGTGCCACCTTCCTCCTCATCTTCATACTGCTGGCATGCTATGGGTTCTGGAAGTTACATCTGACGTTTCAACCTCGACAGCTGAAAAGAAATATAAAAAAATCAAAAGAAAGAGAACATTTAGTACCAAGTGTACCTACTTGCCCACATACTACAAAGCATAGACAGTACTGCAATGATACATTGTATATATTATAAAATCAGCAAGTAATACATAAAATAACTACCTCTATCACATTACTTGACATGTTCAATCAGTTGAGTTTTTTCCTGTCAAAGGAATACTGTCCCAGAGCTGTAGCAACTGCTCTCCAACCTGTGGGTCCAGTTCCTACAAATGAGCAAGAAATTAAGAAGTTACCTGCACTGCTACTATTGAACATATGGAGACTAGAACAAAACTGTTAGATGAAGTTCCTGGTGATTGCTCTTAGTCTTTCTGAAAGAGCTCCTTCATTTTGCTATCGAAACATAGATTAGAACTCCTACACAGGAAAAGTTCTTTTACCAGGGTGCAAAGACAAGAACTTTCGTAAGGTACCCTGGCATTCAGGTTGTTTGAATTCTATTATTCGTGGCAAGATGTTAGTTCTTAAGAATAGAATTCCGAGTGAAAACACCACCATATATACAATGCACCATATGCTTTGTACCTGCCACAATTCATAGGATCATAGAATAGTTAGGGTTGGAAAGGAAAGTAGTTAGGTTGGAAAGGACCTTAAGTTCATGTACTTCCAACCCCCCTGCCATGGGCAGGGACACCTCGCACTAAACCATATTACCCAAGGCCTTGTCCAACCTAGCCTTGAACACTGCCAGGGATGGAGCATCCACAACCTCCCTCGACAACCTATTCCAGTGCCTCACTACCCTAACAGGAAAGAATTTCCTCCTTATATCCAACCTAAACTTCCCCTGTTTCAGTTTAACTCATTACCCCTTGTCCTTCCACTACAGTCCCTAATGAAGAGTCCATCCCCAGCATCCCTACAGGCCCCCTTCAGATACTGGAAGGCTGCTATGAGGTCTCCACGCAGCCTTCTCTTCTCCAGGCTGAACAGCCCCAACATTCGCAGCCTATCTTCATATGGGAGGTGCTCCAGTCCCCTGATCATTCTCATGGCCCTCCTCTGGACTTGTTCCAAAAGATCCATGTCCTTTTTATGTTGAGGACACCAGAACTGCACACAATACTCCAAGTGAGGTCTCACGAGAGCAGAATAAAGGGGCAAGATCACCTCCTTCGACCTGCTGGTCACACTCCTTTTGATGCAGCCCAGAATCTTCTTAAGTATGACTGCTGGTTACATGCTAATAAGCTGTATGAAGTCACTATTTGTCAGTTATGGTAAATAACCCCGGCAGCTAAGTACAATTTTATAATTTTAAAATACTGTTTTTTAAAAAATGGTTCTGTTGATGAAAGTGTAGCCCAAAGTTTAGGTAAGAACCTAATCAGCATAAATGCATGCTAATTGAGAAGATTTTGCAAATTTAACTCAAAATATTATCAATAGACTAAAGGAAGTCCTAGTCATTGTCAGCCAGTGAGATATTTACAGGAAAAAGATAGCCTTTGTTCCACAGGCCTAGTTTCTGAATAATCATTGACAACTTTGTAAGAATGTGATGAAGAGCAGCAGTTCCTATCACAATAGTAGTGTCACCCTTCTTCCCAGGAGAAGACACCTTGAAAAGACATACTGATGAAGAGAGTTACAGTGGAGATGAAGTATTTACTCCATCACGTAGAACCAAAACTTTGCAACCTCTGTATTGCTCCAATTACTCTTTGTTGCTCAGAGGCACCGCTCAGAATACCCATCCTCAGGAGACAAAGGACCTCAGCACCAGAAGCTGTCCTGACTTCCACTGCCTCTTTTTGAGACTCCTCCATCATAAACAGGCAATACCCACTCTTCTGTTTTTATGATCAACTGTTTTTGGACCACTTAGTGTTTCACAAATGAGTACAGGCTGACGGAAAACTTTGCTTTCTCTTTGTATTATGCATCTTTGCTTTTGTGGATGATAATTTCTTAGGTCGAGCATCTATATTATGTCTACCATCCAGAATTCAAGAACAGATCAATCTTAAACAATAGAACATCACCAGTGGCTTTCTCAAAAAAACATAGATTCAATTTAAAGAATCACTTTAAGTATATTTACTCTTTCAAAATCAGGGAAAAGCTTCAACAGACTTGTGAATCAACTTTGCTCTCTCAGCACCGATACCTAAATTGCTAGAACCTTAGTCGGTAGCAAACTTATGTAAAGGAAAGCCTCAAGGCCAATTATGGGACCTGAGTAGTGCTTTTCAAAAAATGGTATCCTCACCAGCTTTTTGAACTCTCTCTATACACACAGAATTTTCAAGTTCAGTTTTTAAAGTTCTGTAAGAGCCCTTGGCTGTTGGTTTCAGTAAGTCAACTGCACTTCTGTATGCCCAGCATTTTCAAAACACTTCAGCTTGTTTCAAGAAAGTACCTGTAGAACAAATGAAGAAATGGCAACGGCTCTGCCTCTGTCCTTAAGCTAGCAAAGTTTTCTTTGAGGGAATGCCAGGTCTCTAAGAAGTGACTTTTGAAGGGTTAAGTACAACGTAAATCTGAAATATTTTTACAATCTTCTAAGTAATTAAACGTTTGCTTACAACTGGAAAGCTTTATCTGCTACTTAGATCTATATATTTCAAACATCAGATGTCAAAAATGAAAAAAAGTTATTGTCAATAAATATTTTGTTATTGTGGGTGTTGCAAGGCTTTCTCTGGATGAAGGTTTGCCTTTGTGGCAGCTCTAAACAGTGCGATCCTGGCACAGTTGAATCCAAGGCCATCTTGAAAACAAAATCCCTTGATATTATTCTGGACTTGTACTGACAGATAAAATTTTCATTGAGTCTTGTTTCGCTAGTTGTGTTTGTTTCCAGGTGTAAATGATGAATATGGTGCCAGTCTGTAAGCCAGTGTCAATTAAATAGATGACGCTATTAGGAGAACCTAGTGTTGATAAGAATTTCTCTTATTTGTTCAAGGCTGAAGAGACAACTTTTCTTTTTAACCCTTGTCAACCACTTCTCCTTCCAATAGGAAAACTTTGTCAAAATGCCTGGAGTTTAGGTACGAAGTTTTATAGGAATGTATGCAATTTTTTTGCTTCTTGTCACACAAAACACTGTAACATTTTTACCTTAAGAACTCTCTCCTTGAAACAGGGAATGTCCTTGATGGAATTGAAGTAAAGGAAACTGAAAATTCAGGGTGAACCCAAGCTATGGCTTTCATTGCTGGGGTTTACAGAACAAAGATAACAGAATGGTAAAAGATGATCTTAAACATCTTTTGTTCAGGAACTCTGTTCTGCTGTGTCAAAATTTTCCTAGTGATAATAAGATCGCAGCCTTTGATTTTTTGTTAGACTCAGCACAGGCGCTTAACAGCACAGGCCAAGCTGAGTTCCTGACAGTGCTAAAGAAAAACCTGTGAAAAAGACTTGGTTTTAGGTAAGAAGAGATGTCTGTGACTTTGGACAAGTCAGAACTTCCCCCTGCCCCATACTTCAGGGAAGCCAATTGCCTCCTGCAGAGTAGGACACCACTAATCCTGTAGTAAGTTGCTTTCAACTTCTGAATCCTTTATGGGTTAAAGTTTTTTTCCTGTTCTCTGGTCTCAAGGTATTACTGGTCAATTTATCCCACTCTTCCTCCGTTTCCTCTTCTGGTCTGGGCAAAACAATGCTCCGAGTTGTTCAAATGGTAATGTTACATTCCTGCCATCCTTCAGTGCTGTTGCTCACAGGGTAGCTGCTTTTCCTTTTATAAGAAAGGTCTGCTAATGAGTAAGCTTTAAACAATCCTAAGTCCTCTTAAGAGAATTGCTGAAGGTCAAGGAAAATATCCTTAGGGATGTAGTTACACCGCTAGAGATGCAGTGGTCTCTTCTTTTGCCAGCTGTGTCTATACTGATGAGTAAAGTGAACAGTTAGCACCTGACAAGGTTGGTGTTATGATACTTAAGGTGGCACTCGGGTTTTTCTGAGATAGGTTGGAGTTGTTTCAAAACAGTGCTAGTGTCGTCTCTGATCATTAGTGATTGGACTGCATTAGGCAAGTCTCTGGAGGACCTTTATATCCTTAGTGTTATTCAGAAGGTGCCCTGCTTTTGTGGTTTGAGCCTGTTCCATTGCAGGAAGCAATTGGGAAATTGTCTTCAAAAGCACACTCAACATCTAGCCCTTATTTCTTCTTACTGTAGAAGATCGACAGGGTCCTAAGACTGATACTCTGCTGCAGGCTTGAGGTGATGATTCCTGAACACTTGAACTTCAGTACTTGTATTTCCACAAGTGAGACCCCCCCCAGGTAGTTGAGGGTTAAATGTAGTCAGTTTAGTGACCTATTGGTATTTCTTTCCGCATAAAATGAAACTGTGAAAATCTGTTGGTTGCTCCCTCAGCTCAGATTTTGGTTTTGATCTTTTTAATGGGACTCTTGATAAGTTTGGTTGTCTGTGGATTTTTCCCAAAGCGACTTATATGGGTATAACATGGCCGTTGAGAATACCACACGAATTAGCAGTAAATTCAAAACTCTGTCCAGCTGTGAAGTACTCATCACAGCAAACTGGAAACTGTACCTGTTGGAGAGGGTACAGTGAAGTGCCACAGAAATGGTCAGAATGATAGAGCGCCTCTTATACGAGGAAAGGATGAGAGAGTTGTTCTTGTCCATCCTGGAGAAGAGAAGAATCGAGGGAAAACTGGTGTGACAGACACTGTTTTTTCGTCCATCTGGCTACCTAACTCATCCTCACTTTTCTCATTCAGCCGTGGTGTACTTGTGTCCTCTGCAGTCTTTGTGATTCTCACTCGAAGTTCACCTTCTGTTGCCAGAGCAGCTTGAGGTCAGCATCTGGCAAGCAAAGCATGTGTATCATACAATAATTTACTTTCAATTCTGAAATTTTTTACCACATAGAGTTTTGTTGTTGGTGGCTGGGGTTTTTTGCCTCTCAGACTGTTTTGGAGACCCAGCTATTATATGAAAAATAAAGTGGTCTTTCTTTTAAAGCTTTTTCTTTAAGTATTAAATTTTTCCTAAGCTTCTAGAAGGTAGAGAAGGGATATTAAATGTGGAATATGCAAACTGAAATATTACCCTTCATTAGAATTTAATCTTGACATTTCCCTTTGAAAGAAACTGTGCTTGGATAATAACACATGTTGACAGAGGTCTGCATTTATTAATATGTACAAGTATTTGCTAACAAAACAAAAAAGGGAATAGCTTGCAAATATTAAACTCAAACATGTCTTTGATATAACCATGATGACAGCATGTGCTTATAGACTGAAATACTGCATGAACACCATTGAAGGAAAGAGCGGAACTGGGTTTGTCTTCCAAATTCAAGTGCTCTTAAAATATAAGAAGGCTTATTAAAAGACAAGATGCTACCCATGCTAGATTTTGAGTTTTGTAATCGAAATTGATGTCTGCAGATATTAAGCCTGAGGGGAAAGGAAACTTTTGTCCTTAATGTTATTCCTTTTATTCCAGAGTTTCCATTGAAGAATTGTTGAGGCAGTGTAGATTAGTGATTACATGCCCAAC